TAATGAATAAGTTGACACATGATATAGCCATATGTAATGCATGTCGTTTTCTTCTATTGAACTTCTGGTCATTTTATTCAATTCCGTCTTCCAGAGGTTAATCGTGACTTTAGAGTCTTTACTGCTGCAGATACATGATTTGCATTTGAGTCTCCGTCAAATTGTCCATCCTTTGGAAATTATATTATTGGTAAATAAGAAACTTTGACTCAGAGCAGCTCCCTAATAGTTATCATCAACAATCCAGCATCTTCCATTTGATTCGAAAATGTAACACTTTCTATCCACTTATTGTACTTGTTATTTTCTTATTTACCTTCCGAAGTTCTCTTCTACTTCTTATTGTTTCTATCTCAGCATGATGCTTACAATCATAGTGAATTGATACTTTATCACGCTATACTTTTTATGGCTTGATATCTTCGGCTGGAAATCATCACCTAAATACGGCTAAAATGAACCTATTACCAATTTCTGATAGCTGATGAATTTGATAATCCCACCTTGTGTTCAGTCATAGCTTCGTCTTTTTGTCTTTTGTATGCATACATTTGCCGTAAAGAGATGAAAAGTAATGAAGTGGATCTTAGTTTCCAGCGTATTTGAAGTATGTGTCATTCATTAGGAAGATAAGTGTCTAAATGCTATCTGTTTGATTGACATATGTAATTAGTTCCTATTTTGCTATTATGTATATAGTAGTGTATGTTTATTTTAAAGCGAAGTATAATTTTGCCGATCCAGTGTTTTTGTTGTTTCATCATCATTTCGACATGAAATTGTGATTTAGTTTTTGTTCAAGACTATTTAATAGATTCAACAAGTAATGCAGGTAGAATTTTTAAAAAAAAGAAAACGTATGTAAACGCTTGCATGTATCCATCGCAAATTAGTAGATGAAAAAGGGATCCGCGACCGAAAACCATTTAGAATTGGTCGACTACGTTTATCCGATTCTGAAAACAGTAAGTCTCAATTTACATAAAGCTTCGGTCAAGTAGTGCTTGATCCCAACTTTTAACACTAAAAATATTACCCAATATCGTAACATTTAACTTAGTTTCCACTTAGTTAGATCAGTCAGTCACTTACTATCATGTGATTATTTCGTACTAGAGGTCACGCTGTGTTGCTATTTATTATTTGTTATTTTAGAAATTGTTTCGGTTATTTACACCCAGAATAGAAACCAGCGGTAATAATGCTGTAGCTTTCTTGTTTCTGCTATTATTGGAAAGTTAAGCAAAACTGGTCAATACTTCTTTGAATATATCCTTGAGACTGCTTTTTTAATTACTTACTTCCGTTTTGCTCCCACTTCTCGTGTCTTCATAATGTTGCTTTAGTATTTTGAATGGTGCATCTCTTGTTGCTCATATCGTATCAAGTTTGTATTCTAAATAACTAAATTAGTATTTATACTCTTATTCATCTTTTTCTGTAATCGTTCACCTATCTCATTTAAGTGGATCATATGAACGGTGCGGTAGCCAGTCAATATCAATATCAGCCAGCAATGGTCGGCGGTGAGCCAGTGTGTATGGACCCAACTTATTTTGGTAGTCAGCAGGGAATGAATGGACAGCCTATACCAACTACCCATGGTGCTCAGCGTTATTATCAACCGAGTGGTGGTATTACAGGAATGATGAATGGTCACGATAATTTACCTACAATGATTGCAAGGCCTACATTTGAACCGGAACACTGGCGCATAGCTGGAGCTGATTGTACTGCAGGTCTAGGAATAGATCCTGGAGGCTTAGATGTTGCATCTACGCGTGGTGCTGGTTGGCAAGTAAGTATAATGCTTTTGATACGACTGAGTTCTCTTCTCGTTCTGTTCAAAAAATTACAAAACATAATGTTTATGGAATGCTCATAAGGTGTTTTTACATTGTTAATCAAGTACTTTGTGTCATAGTTTGCGTATTTCTGGAGAGGGAGTTAATCATATACCAAACTGAGTCCCTTTCTTTGCAGTTATGATATCTAAAGTATTGCTAAAGTGCTATCTCTCATCTCTTTGCATTTTGTGACATCGTAAGGTAGCTCACATACATCTAGTGAAACCACAGACAAAACTCTATCTTTTGCATGTGTTCGAAATACCTTCGGATCTAATACCCTATCAAATTTTGCACGAAAAACTGTTCGATGACACAGCTTTGTGGCGTTCCAAGTTAAGATGAATCGTTTTTTATAGCACAAATTGGTTGTTCAAAATAACAGATAACTTGAAGGAAATTGAGGCGCTTCAACCTTGAACTTTATCTAGGTGCATTATTGTGTAGTTTACCCCCGATCGTCCGTTGAGCTTCGCCATTTGCGTTGACTGATTTATATTTCTTACTAACTAACCACACACGCATTCAATTTTACAGTCAATATCTATCATGTGTTAATAGAACTGATTAGACTTATTTACCCTATGATTTATTTAGATTATCAGAATTTGACCACACAATGAAAGTGACTGTTACGATATATCTAATGCCTAATCGGCAAGTCATTTATTATCTTTCAAACTCGAACTTAATTCGTCGTTGTACCTAGCGAAATTGAGTTTTAACTGTTGCGATTGCCACTGAGACTAATCGGTCACCAGTAAAGTTTATTATGTAATCCGTCGAGTGTGCGTTTCGGATAAATATACATGTATTTTCGAATCAGTAGAATTGTGATATATGGAATCAACCATAATAAACGTGCACCAATAAAAGTGGATAATGGTTACTATATTATGTATTCCAAATGGACACGAGTAGGAAAACCTGAACCATTGGATAATATCCCGTTTCCTCACCACAATATCCTACTACACTAGGCTTCATTTCTGTCAGGATTATGGTTAGACACTGTTGGGAATTTCCAAACTAAGACCACAACTTTTCAGTACTCTTGATTGCTGTGATTCAAACTACTTTAAGGTAAATCAGTTCTCTACAAATGTGCCAGAGTGGCACGAACACTGAATCATCATACCTCCTTTAAAGCGTTTGATTACATCCTTAAAGGTTTACATCATCATCAAGATATATATATAGTGCATACCCTTGGTCGGGCAGCAGTTTCGCTCGAAATTTTGCCGAAATTAAATAACACCATAATGTGTAAATCTTATTTACGGGTATATACCTATTATAAATTTATTCTCACCACAAAGCACAAATTTTTCATAATTATAGTCATATTGCATGTCACAAGCTTTGTAACGTTAAAGATGAAGGCATAAAACTAATATAAAAATTACTACTACAACACCTTTCTCACTGTTATTTATGTTTACCTTATTTTTATTACTAAGACTGTAATCTCTTTATTCAGTTAACTTTCTAAGAGAATTATTTTTGACCTAGATAATCATTTAAAGTTATGTGAAAGCGCGTTTCCTGGCTGTACGCCAGGTATAATCCACTCACATAAATCTGCATTATCAAGTAAGTAATTTTTCACTATTGTTTGGTACTCTAGAACCAATAATATCAAATTTCATCTAGATAAACAGAGCGTTTTATGTATAAGGCTAATTGAATTTCCCCTTAGTCTTTTTGACACATAAAAGTGTGATTGTTTGAAATTTAAGTGGAAAACTCTGTTTGTCGAAATCGAAACGCATTTGGGGACCGCATTCATGCTCGTGTCGTAGGCAGAGTTACAGTTATCATGTATGGTCTGTCCAGACTTCAGTGGGAGGAGCGGAGTTTAAACCTTCGACCCACTGATTGAAACCTAACTGCCTAAATCAATGAGCCACAGCTGCAAAATAGTCCAGACGCCCTAGTCTTATCATTCATTGGTTTCAGAAGTGTTTTTCATGAGAATACTGCCTCAACTACCATTGTCTCATACTATTAATTAATCAAATGTGGTAAGATACCCCTAAAATTGATCTTACGCAAGAATGCGTGTTTGGTTATTTCGAAGATGTCGAAATGGCAAGAGAACTCTTAAGTAGACGTTCAAACTTCATTGATACTCTTTTTTCTGGGGAGGTAAACATTTGTTACAGGTTTGTTCTTTGATATTGGCATTATAGGTAGAGCGTTTCGATTAGGGGCCGCCTTCGTAAACTCATGTCCCATCTTTGTTATCTTTTATCGACAAAAAGTGCTACTACGCGTTTTTTATTCACTCGACTAAAGTCTCTGAAATACGTATTGTATAAATGTGAACAGTCACATTGACGTTTATAAAAATATGTATGAGGCTACTTGAGCAATGGCATACAATCTTCAACTTTATGCTGTCTTGCAGTTACTGATTGGATGCCTGAGCTGCAAAAGAATCAGTCCCCTGACTTCCATAATGAATAGCTATATATTTTTTTAGATCATGAAATGCTGTGAATTCGTGCTTGCCTTACGTTTGAAAAAAATATGTATTATCAATTTTATTCGCATTCCTAGGGATGTAGAGCTAATAAAGGTGTGAAAGCTCCAGGTGCATACTACTATGAAGCCGCTTGTGTAGAAGATGGACTTATACGCGTAGGTTGGTCAACTAATGATGCCAACTTGGAACTTGGTACTGACAACTATGGTTTTGGCTTTGGATCAGATGCCTTGGGTGCAGCTGGAATGAATGGGACTGGTCGTGTAATGCATCGAAATACTGGTCATGATTACGGAGTTATGGTTCATGAAGGCGATGTCATCGGTTGTTTACTAGATTTAGATAAAGGATCTGTGTCATGGTCATGTAACGGCAAGTTTTTCAACGCGCATTTACAATACCTGATCAGTTAAGAGGTGAAGCTTTTCTACCAGGTAAGTTATGCATTTTTATTTATTTTTTTCTCAGTATCTTTTCCTACCTAATCAAGGTGATTTCCCCTATTATCCAGAAAATGTCTTTGTTCCTTTTTCTCACTGATTTCAACCTATTCATATTAAATCCTAGTTATCAATAAAACTTCAGTTACGTGTCGAAAAACAGACAACTTTATTGAAAGAATTAATTCATTACAAACTGTTATTACTTTTTCGATATCCTGGTCATTTAATCTACACACACTTGGATATATTCGCTCCTAATCAGATTCTTTATTAATCATGAATCTTACTGTATCTTTTCGACACAGCGAAATCAAGTTCGCAGGATAAAAGGATATCACTTTATTACAGAGCTTCTCTTCATCTACTAACAGGTCAAGATATACATAGAATTACTGAAATCAGGAAATACATTTTCGGATTCATTCATCTAAAATTAGTTTTCATCACTGATTGACATCAATTAGAGAATCATTGAAAACCTGGGAGTATTGCACAGCTATTTTGTCTTAATATGGGATTCCTCAGAAGTTCATACCCACAACCCTAGTAGGGATCCAGCCTATGACCGTCGGGTCCCATGTTAACCGCCTTACTTTCCACCCTATGGGTTTGAATTCAATAGTTCACTGCTTCCTACTTTTGTTGGTTTACGATATAGCGTGACCATCATCCATTGTCATCGGTGAGCGTCCGAAACTGCATTCTTAGTTGACCCAACAGATCACGACTGCGCATTGGAAATTCAGGAAATCGGTTTCCAAGGTCACTACTGACCACTAGTAATTAATTTAATTGGTGATTTCTACAAATTGTATTCATTTGAAATTATTTTCCATCAAGGATTGACATCAGAAGCCATGAAAATCTGGGAGCACTGGAAAGCTGTTTCTTCGCAGTATGCTCAGCCCTCTGTCTGAATATATATTCGTTCTTCTCATCTTGCCATCGAAGACACGTAGGCTTCACTGCCGCCCGTTTCCTACGACCATAAGGTGCAGACATACAGTCGCTCGTTCTAACGCGTGATCGGAGTTCAAACGGGTACTCCAGAAAGAGCGATGGCTTATAGCAACTATGATCTGTCTGTTTGTCGTTGGTTTGATGTCAGAGGACACTGTGTGAGACTGTGTCTCTCCTTATGTTTGAAATTAATATGCGCAGCCATCAGGACAAAATTGAGAGAGACGATCATCGTTGTTGGTTCACTGGCATGAGATTCCACAGACAGTTCCCAGATTCCCATCTCTTTGGCTCAGCTTTTCTACCTGAGCGTTGAAGTCGATTGCTACTTTGACGAGTATATCTGGACGTTTGCTTCATGCAAGAAAATAGAAAGCTTATGATAGAATTCATCCATTATACCATCCGAAGTGCAGTTGGTGAGCGCTTAAGCGGAAACCATGAATAAGCATCGACGAGTGTCATTGTCCTTCTAACTTCTAACAGATGAGTTTAGTCGGACAGTGCATAGTTGGCTTATTGATTTGTATCTAGTCAAAAAGTGTGCTTTCTGTTCTACAACTTAGTTCCATTTTGACACCAGCGAGTTCATGGGAGCTAGTCATTTAATCTTCGGACAAATAAGGAGAATTTTGAAGTTTTGTCGTATTGGTTAGGTGAGGTCAAGTTAACAACTGCACTTGGGTAGTGCATACGTGTTTCAGAGAGGTAACATACTTCCATGGATCGGGATTTCAGAGTTTTAGCAAGAGATGCCTGTTTTCCGATTTAGCTTGACGTGGAAATAAATTGAACAGGGACTGAAGCAAGATAAAGTGTGACACATCTGCAAAAGACCAGCATTATTAGGACGGTAAAAGAACGGAATCTAATCAAAGACACGTGAAAATCACAAAAATGACCCACTTCAGGTTAATGGGAATCAGTAGAAATATGAAGCAGAATGTATGATACTCAACCACATACCTAATGCCAATGCTTATATAGTGTAAGATTCCTGACTCTATTTCTTAGATAACTGTGACCTTTACTCTACTTATATCTTCAGCTACTGTCCCGCCTTTTGATCTTCTTAAAAGTTATTCGCCGTTAAGTCTACTTGAATGGATATCTGTCAAGATATGTATGTGCTAACACACAAGGTACGTATTTCGAAAATCTCAGGACGATTGTTTTTTAATGATCAATCTATGTCCCATTGTACCTCCTGTTTCGGTGCTCATTTCGTTTAATATTCGTATTTCATACGTCATATAAAATAATAGCTGTCGTAGAATATTAATCCTACCCCTTTGTATACATACATATATGTATATATGTGACGTTGGCATTTTTACGCAGATATGTACTCATTTCCCCTTATTTTTCTGAAACTATCGATAGATTTTAGCTTAAAAAGATATGCACGAAGTTAACTGCACTTAAGGCTAAATAAATAATTCTTGTAAACTATGCTACTTTTTATTTTTTTCTTCATTCATAAGTAGTGGTTTGCTAATATGTAACTACAAATAAAACGCATTATAAAAGAGCAATTAGTAAATGTGGTTTCTTCAAGAAGAAAACAACCCCAAAAGGTCGCACACTGTAATTTATCGTACTCTATATGTGTTTATCACAGTTGACTGATACAGTGAGAATCTTTGAGTTTATCATGTTGAAGTGTGTGAAAATGAGTGGCGTTTTGCTACGTAGCAGGCCCACAACACACATGACATAGGCTTATTAGGCGAAAACACAGAAAAAGTGCAGTTTGGGGGGACACTAAATGATAATTGGAAAATGTCTAAGATGTGTTTCTCACCACCCAAATGAAAACTGTTACTGCAAAATCGGTCTCCAATGCTACCTTTTCTAACAAGGAATGAAATAGTTGTGTGCACTGCCCACTTCAGTTACCTGAAGCATCGGATCAGCTGTGATGAATCAGTGACCGACAAAATGTCTGCATACTTACGAAGTTTCGGTCGGCTTTCTCCAGATTACTGCATCTATGGCGCCACTGTGATATCTGATTGCTTACTAAGACCCGAGTGTACCGCGGTACATTTCCCTGTGTTTCTGGCAATATGGCTGTGAGGCATAACCATCAAAGTAGAGGACATGGTAATGCTCCAGATGTTCGACCACTGTCGCTTTCTTAGGTGTCTGTTACCCGGTCAGTAACCTAGAAGTAAAGCGTAGAGTTCTTTTTATGTTGAAAAGTTAATTCATGACGTTTTAAACCTTCATTGACTCATGATTGGGACATGTGTTACATGTGCTTTGTCACTGTCTGTCCCTCGTGCAATGTTGGCTGAAGTGGGTTCAGGGTAGAAAAAGGTTATCGATGACCAAACTGAAATATGGCATCGGTTCCTGAAGTCTCTGACAGTCTGACTCGTATGGGGAAAAATAGACTTCCCAGTTGGGATCGGCTGGTCAACCGAAATCGGTTGTGATATGGCTCAGAATCGATGCTATTTGCACAGTTGCATCCAGACATTATCGAGTTTTTATTATTGTCTCCGTCTTTCTTATTCTCATTCAACAACTTTCTACTACTTTTGCTTACTTTCTTCGTTATTTCTTTATCTTCTGTCTGTTTGCTTACTGCTTTGATATGTTGACATCAGGTGCAGCAGCCTTATTAACTACACATTAACACCAGGTCTCACGTTGATGCTAACTACCAAATAGTTGAATTGCTTAGCACACACACTTTTATACTCAGACAAGATGACTGTATTGGGACCTTCTACCTTATTTTCAATTTGTCAGTTGCGAAATGTATAATTAACGTTTTTTAAATTATCACTGAATTCATTCAGTAGATGCTACATCTTGTCAGCATTCCACATATCACATATTATGTTTATCAGAAGCTCTATAAATAGTATTTTCAAAGCTGAATAAGAATGGTTATATCCAATAAACTTAATGGCGAACTGGTTCCCTTATCTCAGATAGCATTCTTATATCATCCCTTGTGTATGACTTTATGATCTCTAATAGAGAGTAAACCAACCAGGTTACTCGCTCTTCACACTTTCCAAACAGAAATTTCTTTCCTTTTCTAAAAGTGTGGTTATAAGCTATCAAGGTTAATTCAGTACAACTATTTTTCTCGTATCTTAGCTTATAGCAACTGTTCTAATTACGAATTCTTGAACACCATCTTCAAATACTTTTATGATAAACTGTTTACAGGTTTACAGCATTCCAGACTTTCAGGGCTTAATCAACTTTTTTATTGTTGGTGTTGCAAAGCTCTTGATTTTCATTTGTACATGAATCTCCACTTTCACTCAATTGAATGACATCTATTCACACGCTGTACATTATTTCAGGTCAAATTCTTCAAATCTGGAGTTTTAAAACGTTTTATATACGTTTTCAGACCGAAACACACGTTAGTAACTTTCGTTTTGCATCGTTCACCAACATCTAGTTTATGCTGAGTTTTCAAATTCACAAAAATGATGTCCATCACAATTATTTTCATAGTACCGTCTATATTTTTTTTAATATTTATCCCTTGGGTTCCTAATGGAACATAGGGCTTCAGTAGCACGTCTCCAGAGCACTCTGTTCTCTGAAATCTTTTAAACCTGGCTCCACGACTGCCCACGAGCTCTCATTTCCTCCTCGCACTACCTCCTTCATGTCACCCTCGGGCGCCCAACTCATCGCTTCCCAGCGGGGTTCCACTCGACGGCCTGGCCTGACGCGTGATGTCCCCAGTCAGCCTTCTCAGTGCATGCCCAATCCATCTCCACTTCCTCCTGCACATTTGTTCAGCGATAGCTTCTTGGTTGGCCCGTTGCCAGCTGGAGTGAGTTCCTTGTTGCTTATTCTTTCTGGCAATCCATCTGATCTTCAGTAACTAGCCAGCGTAAGCAGTTGTTGGTGAATGTCTGTAGTTTATTGGAAATCCCTTTCGTAACGCGCCAAGTCTCTGAACCATACAGAAGCACTGACTTGACTGAAGTTGGTGTTGAAAATCTGCATCTTGTTCCACATGCTGAGTGCAGAAGATCTCCACACTGGTTTCAAGCTAATGAACGCCTGTCTTGCTTTTCCGACCCTAGCTGACTTTGACGTCCTAGTCTGTGCCTCCTGTAGTTGAGACAGTGCTGCCTAGATAGGTGAAAGAGGTTACTTCCTTTAAGTTTCTCCTAATGATGGTGATTGGATTTTGTTGTTGTTGGTTGGGTATCTTCATCAACTGTCTTCTCTATATTCACTTGAAGTCCCGTTTTCGCTGCCCTGCCTCTTCTGTCAACTTGTTAGTTTTCGCCTGTAGATCTTCAAGTTTGTGTGACATTAGACATAAGTCGTAGGTGAAAGTCTAAATCTTCTAGGTTCTTTTACGCAGTCCAGCGTATCCCCCTCTTCTCGCTCCTCACTGTTTGCTGCATGATCCAGTCCACTACAATCAGGAAGATCATCGGTGATAGTAGACAGCCTTGTTTCACTCCTGTCTTCACTTCAGAAGCATCACTGAGGTTCCCATTGTGAATTACTTGGCATGTGGCGTCGTCATATAGTTGTTGAATGAGGCGGATAAAGGTTTGCGGTATTCCATGATGTTGAAGCAACTGCCAAATTACTTTTGGGTCGACGCTGTCGAAAGCCTTTTCAAATCCGATGTAGCTGAGGTAGAGGGTTGACTGCCATTCTATACTCTGTTCTATGATGATGCGTAGTGTAGCGTTGCAATTTGGTCTGCACATGATTTGTACTTCCTGAATCCAGTCTGTTCCGATCGTAGTTTTGAATCCAGCGCATCCTTTAGTCTCTCCAGGATGATGCGGCTTAATATTTTGCTTGGGGTGGACAGGAAAGTGATTCCGCTCCAGTTCTTGCGAAGACTTAGGTCTCCCTTCTTCGGCAGTTTGACAAGGTAACCCTTCTTCCAATCGACTGGCAGGTAGGTACCTTCCCTTCCTTCCACACCTTCTGCAATAGTGGTGTGGTGTGAGCATGTCTGCTGTTGTCTCTGCGTCTGTTCTCAGTGCTTCTGGCGGGATCCCATCTGGTCCTGCTGCTTTCCTCATTTCAGTAGCTTTATGGCGTTCAGGACTTCCATTTTTGTTGGAGGATTTATGTTCACTTGTAGTTCTATGGCTGGGCTGCAGGTGGTATTTCTGGACGAAGTGCAGGTGGTGGTCGATTCAAGAGCTTCTTGAAGTGGTCAGCCCATTGTTTCCTTTGTTTCTCTTCTCTTGTAATTAAATTTCCGTCATCATCTTTTATTGGTTTCATCCGTGTTGATCTCGTCCATCCCAGATAGTAATCTGGTTATTTGATGTAATGTCGTCAGGTCTCTCCTCCCTGCAGCCTGTTCTGCTTCACTTGCCAGTGTTTCGTAGAAGTGTCTTTTGTCTTTCCATGCACTCTTCTTCACTTCTTTGTCCAGTGTTTTGTACATTGTACTCATTTCCTACACTTGTTGTGCATCCTTGCACTGGTTTATCTTCTGCTTCACCATCCTCGTCTCCTCTATTAGTTTCCATGTGTTCATCGAGATCCATTCCTTATCTTCTTCCTTCTTCCTCCTAATACGGCTGTGCAGGTTTCCTTCCACATCTCTTTCAAATAGTTCCAGTGTTCTTCCATACAGGTTTCTACAGGGATGTTCCTCGATATCTCCCATTTTGTCTTGATGGGTGATGACGTGAAGATTTCGTTTGTAGTTTTGTGCTTCAGTTTCCGAGTGTTGTACTTGAACTATGGTCTGTCACCAGCTTTCTTGAAGGCTTTTACTTGATTTTGAAGGTTCCTTGCACTAGATAGTGGTCTGAGCCTACATCTGCTCCTCTTTTTGATCTTGTGTCAAGTAGGCTGACTGCATTTCCATTTTCTTGAGGCTGAGATAAAGTCGATTTGATTTTTAGTGTGTCCTGGTGTCTGGTGAAATCCATGTCGCTTTGTGGATATTCCCTTGTGCTTGAACACAGTGCCTGACTCCAATCACCAAATCGTTGAATGCGCAGAATTCTGCAAACAATTCTCCATTCTCGTTCATCACCTCACCGAGTGCTTCGCGACCTATGGTTAGTTCTCTTCCTGTGTTGTCCCCTCCCAGTTTGGCATTCTCGTCGCCCATTACAATTTTGATGTCACCAACTGGAGTCTTGTCTAGTGCTGATTGTAGTTATCGATAAAATTCCTCCTTCTTCTCTTCATCTGCATTATTTGTAGGTGCGTAGCGTAGCGTGGCGTAGCATTGTATGATTGTGACTTTGCTTCCTTTTGATTTGAATCCATCTGGCTGTCATGATCCTGTTTTCGCAGTAGGAGATTTGTTCCCACTGCATGAGCGAGAGAGAGAGAGAGAGAGAGCCTTCGATGCTGTTGGGGATATCATGATAGCTACTCCAAAAATGAGTGTGTCCGTGGTTGTTGTCCGGGTGATAATATTGGAGTAGATTATTGACTCTGCAGTTGACAGTTTGGAGAGTCCACTTCCATTCCATCTGCTTTCGCAAATTCTTAGCATTTCAATGTGATACCTTCTCATCTCGTTTGCTGTCTGGGCCTCCTTGCTGGGTTCAAACATGGTGTGGACATTCCATGTCCCCACGTTTACTTTCGCTCTCATCGCGAGAAGAGCAGACACATCGGCCAGTTGGCCTCCCGAAGGCTTTCACCAACTGGTTTCGTCTCTCTGATTCCAGCGAGGAATAATTTTGTATTTATTTTTTATATTTTGTTTATGCTTTGAAGTTTCTTTAGTGACTGGATTGGTTTTCCAGGGTAGAGTTGCTAGCCCTATACCCAACCTTCCTTCTTTACCCGGGCTTAGGACCGTCTAGTAACTAGTGAACTAGTTAACCAGGCGAGGTTACTGGTCTATATTTAAAGTCTCCTTTTTACCTTTCTTTCGATTATTAGTATCTCCCTTTTTCTGCTCTATTATTTTAGCTGCTAGCCTAAAAGATTCACGTATCATATTCAACTTTGGTGAAGACCAACCATTGGAGTATCCCCCTGGCGGTCCATATGTTCCTGTCGCTCGGTCTGCAGATGATAATCAAGTTCCTAATAGAAACCCTGGATGGCGTATGAATCAGTATGATGCGACCAATGCCTTAGATGTAGCACCGGATGGAAGCCTAGTGCAGTCTCATTTTCATCAAGGTTGGCAAGGTTGTCGTTCTAATCATGTAAGTTTCTTATGCATGGCAATTATTCATGTCGTCGTAGCCACCCCAAGACACTCAAAATATTCTCTTGAAGTTGTCAGTGCTTTTCAACTCCTTGACTTTATTTATTTATGTTTCTGATAATTTTTGTTAAGCGATATTTCTATTTTCGCAATCAAGTACTATAATTGCTACTTTTATCGTGTAAGATTTCATGGGAAAAATCATAATGGTTCACAGGTGGTGTATGCCACTTGTGTAAACAATATTTCTCTGTTCCCTAAGGTATATTTTTCTTATCTAATTAATATTTTATCGCTCGTAGATCACTGCACATTTAAAAGGAGAATATTAGATCCTGAGCGCCATAATTCATCAGTCTTTACATTCATATTTTTCATGCCTTAATCACTTATGGGAAGTATTTCGTATATTATGAATATTTTTTTCCTTGAAACCTTCTCTGAGCAGGTTTCACTCCAGTTGTCATACATCCAAAGCATTATATCAGTTATTCCAATAATACTTTGCGGAATGATATTCTCAGATGATTCAAATAATCTTTCTAGTTATGATATATCAATATACTATTGTCCGTTTTCAGTTCCTTTTTTATGAATCCTGAAGCGTCTATGTGCTAAAAATGGGTTTCAATAAAAATAAGATTGACATTCATGCGTAAATATTCTCACCCTGAAACGCTTTAACTCTTAGCTCCTTTTTATAACTTGGGGGCTCCGTTCTGATGCTGGTCACTGCAGTACGCCTATGTACTTTCGAGTGAGGGAGACACGGTAGGAAATAATAGGAATAAAACTTACAATTCAGTCAGGGGTGGCTAACAGAGGAATCTCGGAGATATGTGTCGTCCTATTTGAAACTCGTCAGTTGGATGTGTGGAGATCCAGTGAGTGGTGGGGGATACCACTGAGTCCTGCATCCATCGTTCCAAACGTCAGAGCATTATTCACTAGATCATTGAGGGATGAAAGCGATCGTTTATGTAACACGTATTTGTTGTTAGTCATTATTATACTAGGTCGGGTCGATCAACTTTTGTTAACATATGGGATCCTGTACCGATACCTCGATATTCCCTGAGGATCCATTAGGTTATAATTTGTTTGGAATAAATCTTATACAATAAACAACTGTAAGACATTGTTCATACCAATATATTGGCTAGTAGATGATTCCCAAATAATCAGTTTAACCGAATTTCGTTCAAAGTAGCTTTCTTTTTCACTTCTGTTATTATGTTGAGACCAACGGCTGACTTTGTTCTAGAGCGAAACCCGAAAGAGCTACACTGCTCAAAACTCGGACTAATGTTTTGGTTTATTGATGTAGACATTCAACTTTTAAACGACCGACCACTGACAAAAACCGCACTTCATCCATTCCTATATGGATAGTGTGATATTGTTAAAGTACCTCAAACATCAAGTATGCTTGATAGTCTAGGACTGTTGATTTCATTTTTAATAGTTACAAAAGTTGGATGCATATAGAAATTGTCTGAGACTGCTGACTTAACTCGATTTGAAATGGCGTACATAACACGTCACAGGTTTATTGACGAAATAATCGTACACGATTAAGGTCTATTAATTTAGTGACTGACCTGAGCATACAAACAATACAGGAGGATGTCAAATGCGATTATAAAAATTGTTTTCTAAGATATTCAGTGATTTGATTCCTATTACATCTACTCTGATGAGCATGTAAACGAAGTAACTTATTTCCTATAGTTTACACTATAAATATTTACTGAGATTAACAAACATCACGATATTGCACACATAACTACATTTTCAAAACCAAAAATCTTTCAGTAAAAAAGATATCAATTCAATTTGGTTGGGTACAATAGTTTATCTTAGTCTGTTCCTTTCCTCTCTTAGCGATAAATTTTCCTTTTTCTACACCTAACATTTGTATCTCCGCTGTAAGAGATTAAAATTTTACTTGTATGAAACGATTTATAGCTTAGTTAGTGTCTCTTTCCAGCCGCTGATACTTATCTAACCAGCCATTACTTTATATCTAGATTTTATCTTCTACAGTAATGCATACATGCACATACGAACTGCACACTATGAGAAGCCGACCAGAGGTTGTAGACGAACTCATTCTCAATTGATTCCAAAGACGCGGAAACCTCTGAAATTTGTCTTCTGCTCAGTCTTCAAAATGTTAACAAATAAATTTACTGATCGTTTATCATTTCTTTTTTTCCCCCACTATTAATATTCCCAATTGTCTTCCCTCATGTCAATTTCCACCGACGGTGCTAATATTAATGCGAGTAGTTTAGACTTACGCGATCAGACTGATTCCTTTATTGTCAGTTCTTGCCTATCTGTTTTATGATAATTTGTCGATTGTCACTGAAAACACAAAGACAACCACAGTGCTACTGTCAAGAGACAGCAATCTGCTAATCGCGAACAGGTTTTGTGGTCACCAATACACTTTAGTGCTGAATTGCACTTTCATATTCTCCTAAATCTAATTGTAGTATGCAAGCATTTTATTTTTCATTGTCATGAATTTTGATAAATATTCTTTAACAGTTGCTCATATGAAAAGATGGGTAGTATAGCTGTGCTTTATCATCATCAAGACATTTCATATGTAAAGCATCACTGGAGACTAACCACTTTCATTGTGATGATGAGTCTTCTGAGTAATGAGTGGTTGTCCACAGATGAGTCCTATAAAAAGGTTAATCACAGCCCAAGTAACTCAGTGGCAGCGTTTGTGACTGCTGCAGTGGTTGACATGGTTTCGGATATCAGAAATGTGACCTCTGAGTTTCAAGCACACTTCGCTAACGAGGCCAAGCAGACAGGAAACTTAAATCCAAGGCTTCCTGTTGGTTAAGTTCAGTCACCGAATTTCAAATATTTATTCTTAGTAGTATTATTTGCATTATATCGCTTTAGTTTTCTTTGTATATAAGATTGTTTTATTGCCTGCCAAATAACAGTTGTTTGTGATTTGAAAGCGTCTTTTATTGCCTTCATAATCTTTTAATGATCAGAAGTGTTAATGTCTAGTGTCTGCTATTCCTAACCTTTCCTCTCCTTCCCTCACTGCCTAACTAAGGTAAATTACTTCAATAGTTCGTTTCACTCTTGCAATGCTTTATATGCGCTGCTCTTAGTTGCTGTTTTTTCACACTGTAATTGCAATGTAAAGATTATCTATGATCAGTTGATTGATTGAAACACTAATCTATCAATGTTCATCTTACCGATGACACAAAACTGCACAGAGAAAATATGAATGAAATATAATTTTTAAAAATCATTACTGCAGAGAAAGTTGTCTGAAATATACGAGTTGTTTAGGAAAACTGATTGATACGTTCATAATTCCCAGTCACACGAATGAAGATGTACGTGCACCATCAGAGATACTTGAATTCATCCTTTATATTCACCTTGTAAATTTTAAATCATTTGCTATTCCCAACAAACTTACCCGCTTTTTTATGTACTCGACGTTTTGTTATTTGTCGAGTCAGAGGTGAAGCGTACTGTTGAAGTCAATTACTTGTATACATAATGATAAGAAAGAAATCGAAAAGAATGCTAGATATCTTATTGTGTCATATTCTCATCATCCAATCAATAGGTTACAGATAAACATCTCAGTTTATATCTCTTTCTGGTTGATTTTGCGGTTCTGATGTGAATGACATTACTGCTTATATCCCAGTACTCCTAATTGCTTAGGAAGATGTGATAACCGATTTCTTAGGAAAACGCTTAATGATTTCATGGCTAGTGAATGACTGAGTCCCACTCTTAGATGTGAGGCAAACATCACTTTAGATATTTCATTGTTATTACAGAAAAACCTTATACGTTTCTCTTTTAAAATAATTTCGTAGGACATTTTTTTTTTGAAAAAAAGACCATTTACGACTATTTTCTACTACAAATTGCTGTTAAAATATTAATTTCTTTCGCCCTTAAATGACATTTATACTCTAATGTTTGTAAACACGTTAGCAAGCGTGAGTTATATAATATTCCTCTATCACTAATATGAATTATTTAAGGGGGGAAAAGATCACTGAATCAATTCTTGAATACTTATCGTAGGTAATGCACATTCTGTTCGGTCAGGATACTTTATCATTTTAACCAATACAGTTATTTATTTTGATTGATATAGACATTTTTTTTGTCTGTCTGCTACAGAATAACATTTCAAGGCGAAAAAAAATCCTCAGTAGTTAATATTTTCGTCACTGCAAAGAAAATATCTACAGTAGTAGTGGTTTGCTAACTAGGTTTCTGTTTAAATGTGCATACAAACATCTGAGAAGAAATCATAGTTGTTATAAGACGAAGATAAACAGGAATAGAAATGTGTATCAATTACTGCTTACATCAGGTGTGGACTATTACATTTTTATAGCAATTAAAGTTTGGTAAATCAATCATGTTTGAGAAATGACTGACGTCCGGTAATCAGCTTTCATATACTATCCTTCTTTGTTATAAGTGGTATTGCATGTTAGGAAATGAAGCTCTTTGGCCTAAGATGTTTTAACTCTATATCTATTTATCTAGTGATCGTTCATAAGATAGTGTTTGAAAGGTGCTTGATACTACTCGTTTTGGTATTGTATGCAGTTACTTTAACAAGTCTCCAACTTCTTACCTGGTAGATAACCACTGCCTTTTGATATCTAAAAGTTAAATGTTGATTTCTATCGAGCTATGATCTGTACTTCATCCAATTGAATTATTCTGTGATGGGTTACTTCCTACGCTTGAAGAGTGTCGTTATTTTAAGCACTGCACTGTAAACTCAGTCAAAATAGATGTCATCTTGATTAATGTGTGTCTTTTTGTGAGATATGGAGCTGTGGTTCATTGGTTTATAGAGATGAATTTTCACTAGTGGGTTATGGGTTCGAGCCCTGTTCCACCTCCTGAGGTTTGGGAAGCCAGGTAGTAGCATTAGCCCTCACACAATGGGTGTGATTCATTGCTTACTGCACGAATATCCATAAGGTTGCTGAATGTATCTTATCTGTCCTATCTTATTTTTCTTGGGTAAATACTAACTGATTGTAAGCCACTAAAGGTGGTACAACAATATTTAGGAATAAAAAATAGGTCAAAGATATCCAATTTCGTCTTCGAGCAGATTTCAGCATTTTCAAACGACACATCAACGTGATCACTCTTACACTCCAATAGTGGGGCTGTCGCTCAGTGGTTTAGAAAGGTGACTACCAACCATTAGGTCAAGGTTTCGAGCCCCGCTCTAACTACCGAGGTTTAGGCAGCCAGATAGTATCACTGCCTCTCACACAATAGGTGAAGCTCATTGTCTACTGCATAGATGTGCACGAGATTGCTGATTGTGTTTTGTTTTCGTACAATGCAGTAACTGGCGTTTGCTAACCCTATCAGAACTGTTCCTTATCTTCATAGTGTGCGTTTCTTAATTTCATGAGTTCCTCTGACACTGCTACTTGTTTTTATCATGTTTATATTACGCTCAACTGTTGTTTCTGATACTATAGCTTTTAAGAATCTATTATCTTGTATATGCACATTACCTCGCTACTTATAATTTTGATTAGAAAGCATTGATTATTACTGTAATAAGTAACAAAATTTTCTACAGATACCCTTGTCCAAGCTTAAGGCTTTCTGTTGTCTGTATTTCTCTTCATTTTTCCCTTTTTTAGCCACTATAAATTACTACACTTTAAAATTGTCACCTGTCTAGTATTCATCTTGTTACGAAATGTTTTGTTCTAATTTTTGAACTAGCCACTGGCATGTGTTGCAGATAATGTCTCTCTGTGTATACCTCTTCCTTCACTTGTTTATTGTATTGTACCCTCATTTTAACTATCTGTAACCTGAAAAGTTATTTTCGCGCCTCTTCGATCATTAGGCATTAAATGTTTTTAATGTTTTGTTTGAATTTTCGCTTCTTTGTTCATCTATGCTAGGGTAAATACAGCTCTTTTCGTTGTTTGAATGTAATTATTCATTGGGATAGGATTTATTTCATTATTCTCTGGATTTCTAGTGTCTACACCAAAACTTGGTGTAATTTTGATACTGTTTACTTTACTATTTAATTAGACCGCTATATAAATGAATCGATTTGCAACGATCTCAGTAATATCATAAGCCTTTACTTTCTTCCACATTTACTTTTGTGTTCGTTTTGACAATTTGGTGATTCCAATATGTTTTATGGAATTGTCATGTGTGCACTTCGCTGGTTGTTGTGTGTATCTGTTGGTTTATTCCACTGTTTTATCGACGTTTGATTACTATATTTCAACGGTTCAGTATTTCCACTGCTAAGCATTTGAGACTAACTCTGATTTTATTTTAATGAGATTTGCTCCGTGGTGAAGTTTAATCATACTACTGTATGTTACAATTTCGATAGGTGAAAATCCCGTGCTGTAATTGGAATTTCAAGCAACTTCTTTTGCGCTGTTTCTCTATCCCATACCTATAGAGTAAATCATCTACAAACGTTATTTTACATCGAGACCTTTTCTCAAAAAATCACCTGAATAAAATTCTTCAAACTGACTAAAAAGTTATCTCGAGATACACAACATTGATATACGAATGTCTGTTTGTTTATACAACGGAATAAGAGAAGCTGTTCAAATCGTTTGTTTTATACATATTTTATCATGCTGAGTGGTTCATCTATCTTAGTCTTTGCTTCATATTCAGCCAATTTTTTCTTACTTGTGTTATGGCAAATATTCATAACTATTGTTGATCATTTCTTTGTAATTTGTTTTGCTCAGGGTATTCGTGGACTTGGGAGGTTCTACTTTGAAGTTACACCTATTGAATCAATTGGTCTGTGGCGTTTCGGTTGGTCAACAGACGAAGGCAATTTAATTATTGGCACAGATAGTCATGGTTTCGGTTATGGTGCTGATAACGAAGGTTTTGGTCTGAATGGACAACAGGGAAAACGCATCCATGGTGACGAAATTGAAAACTATGGTGAAGTATGTTTCATCATTTCTAAAAATCTTCCTAACAGTTTTATTGACCAATGTGCTATGAATATTTGTCAAGTTTTGTAAGTGGTTTTGTCTTTAGCATATGTTTCGTAATTTTACTTTGGTCTACATTTGAAAGAAGACTGCATTGGCTCCCCTTTTATGGGTACACATTGAAAACCACTTCTGATTTATGACATGTCCTGGTGTTGGTATGACTTGCCATTACAGGTCCGTGTACTGAGCTACTGGTCAAGTCTACTTTTTAAAGGCTGTTGATACTTCCTGTCTAGTTAAAAAGTAATTCAGTGAAACAAGCTTGGATCCTATGATTTTATGTTTGGTATTTACCTTTCCAAAAGTACGGTGCTACAATATAACTGTTAAAAAGTGCTGACAAAGATTTTTGAAAATAAAATAAAATATTTGTGGGTTTTTGTAGGTCCTTGACTTCGAGCACCAACAATTTCTATACCTTTCTTAATAGTAATTTAGTACTACATTGTATAATCCTTTCTCACTGTAAAATATTGCTTGAAAAAGCAACATGTGACTTCATTTTAACAACTAATTTGACCTGCATTTCCTTTAATGAAACTAAGTGAAATGTTTGTGTATTCTATATGTATATTTCGTTAGTAACCGATACTTTCTCTACTCCTCTCGTTAACCCTATTGCAACCCTAAACCTTTTTTTACCGTTATTGTCATCATTTATACTGAAAAACAAAGCAGTTACCCAAAATCTTCTAAATTCCAGTGTAATCCGTCGTATTATCGTGATCAAGAATGCAGACAAATTAAAAGCACTTCACCTATTTCGCCTTTACTGTTGTTAGCACTTTTAAGAACTTACTGATATTTCTAGCAATGAAAGAAATTAAGTTTGCACTGCGTCAATAGAAAACATTAATGAATTCATCCGGTTAACCATATATATATATATATATATATATATATATATATATATATATATATATATATATATATATATATATATATCCCAGTAGATCTCAGAAAGCCCACGTTATTTTGTACTTTTATTGTAAATCCTTAGCAATAAACTGGATAAATGCTAAATACTGTCAGTTCAATAAATCAGAAAAAGCCATTGTTGAACTTCTTTCTGGTCCCCTTAAAATTGATTGTCATTAGTATTTGGCGACAGTCACTTACCGTTTTCATACAACAGAATATGGTCGAAGTCTGTGTTTTAGTACTTTTGATTTATGGTCAACTAAACTTCACACGCTGTGAATAGATTTCGACATTTTTTTCAAAATAAAGAAATCCAAAATCTGTAAACCACTGTGTAAATATTCTTAGATGTTTGTTTATGCATGTTATTCGTAAGTGTATGCAATTTTTTGCGTACACAAATACAAACTTAGTAACTAACTCTCTTGTATAAGTGTGCTTTACTGTTGACTTAGGTTAATTCACTTTTCACTTTGTTTACGCTTTGGCCTCATAAGGTCTATATTGTTTAAGGTGTGTGAATGTTTTGTTTATCTTAAGTTTATTGTTGTTTCTCCAGTTCTCTTGGCTCTGTTTATTAATTTTTTAAAAATGGTTTTATTCCTGTATTTTAATTCATCCATTTAGTTCATACCTTAATGAAAATATGGTAACAGCCTAATGATACCAATCTCTCGTGCCTCATTCAGTTAGGGATCTATGAATCTATCGGTTTTAGAATGTGTGCAGATTACTGAATAATAACTGCTTCTAACAATACACTGACTGTAATTATTATACATATTCTTCTTTTTTTTCATTTGCTACCTTCAGCATTATTTTATTTTTCTCTTTCCTTTCTGCACTAGGCATTCACCAAAGACGATGTAATCGGTTGCTTTTTGGATACTATTGAACATACAATTAAATGGTCGAAAATGGTTTAGAATTTGGTGATGCCTACAGGATTCCAGCAGAATTAGTACATCCCAAAAACTTAATGGCATTATATCCAACTGTTTCCTTGTTGAATTCTACAGTAGAGCTAAACTTCGGTGACAAACCATTCAAATATTATCCAGGCGTATGTTTTTTCTCTTTTTTCAGTGTCACTACCATTACTTTCTTTCTTATAGTGTTATTCATTTATCTTCTAATTGTAGAGAAACCATACAACGATCCTAGCTTCCTTTATATACATTTCTCATGTATCACAATGATGCCTCACGATTGGTGTTCATCGATTTCTAGATTAGGGGTATGAAATTAAATGGCTATAAATGCGATAACCCTTTTGACCATTTGAAAAATTGCATCGACCCAATAGGCTGATTAAGGACATTTAGATACAAAAGTTCTGTTTAGCATTTACATCATCTCTGTTGTAAGTGCAATATATGACCACCTACGTTTTACGGCTACTAGACATAAGTGTTTTAAGTAGACATGGGGAAACTCAGGATTTTTTTTATCATAAGGGTCTTGCGTGTAGCAAAATCACAGTGTATGGAATGTGGAAGTGGAAATTCGTGTCATCAATGTTGTATCCACTTTAAAAGTGAATATATATTTGAAATAATCCGTATTATCTTTCTCCCTTTATTTGCCTAGCCTGATTGGACACCGGTTTGCTGTGCTCCCCCAGAATGTACTAAGCGTTCCAGGCGGAAGGGTCCCGAGGTAAGTCATATGTCATGGCTACTATACCAACGTCACTTTACGCACACAGTAATTCCATGGTATTATTGTCATACATTAATTTAAATTTAAACAGAACTTTAGACAGGGTTGCTTGCATCTTATCATGTATTCAGTCCATCGGTAACTCACATATAAGTCAACTGCATGTGACCAGTGATGAGTGAGTGTAAGAAGTTAGTCACTTGAAAGTTACATTTGCATGTAACGTGACACAAGTCATAAGCATATTTGACTTCATAGCAAACAGAAATATTGGTGTCCTTGTAAACTACGATGTAATATAAGTTTTCTTGATGGAGTTCCCCTGAATGTTCTAGCCATATGTATCATTTTATCAGTATGATTGTCTGAGATAGTTGTGGCAGCAAGAAAAAAACAACACTTCTGTGCTTAGAATACTGAAATCAAGTAATTATAATTAATCGATAAAGTTGCTTCCATTTTAAAAGTTATATTCCATTAGCACTTAGACTGCCCTTGATTCCCTCATAATTCTTGTTTTCATAATGAGGGTGAAGAGAATCTTGTAAATTCATTTCTGAATGTATACTTCACATTACTTTAAGGATAACATGCCCAACACACACGATTTTAAGGACATATGATACTCGGCAAGTTCCTACAGAAACGATAACTATCGTAGTCTCTTTTGGTCATCGATACGGAAGTGTACCACTTAGTTTTGTCAACCTGATCGTTGTCGCCCGAGTTGTGATTACTTTTCTATCATTTAGTATTATTGTGAAGGTCTTGAGAATAATTTGTCTGCATTTGCTTACATTACATCTCACGATTGCTTACATTTTACGCCCCCCTCTTTCATGTGCAAGAAAGTACTATTTCCTCAATAAGTTATGAACACTAGCGAAAAATTTTGTGTTCTTGTTAAGTTGTGATAAGAAGCTAAGCGATAAGGAATACTCTTCCTCTCGATTCATACCTTCTGAATGTCCTAATGTGGGGTTTTTCCTCTAATACGTGAAACTGTTATCTATCTTCACTTTATTTTTTCCATAAAGTCGAACTGTTTCGCCTTTTCATGTTGTTATTGCTTGAAGTATAAAGTTCTTTACCTAATGACCTTGACCTACTAAATTCATGTCTGATGACTGGTGATGCAACCTCAGCGTTGTTACCTCCATTATCTTTATTTTATACATAAAGCTAACAATTCTTTATTTATTTTGCTACAGCGCAAAGTAAAAGGTTGGTCATATATTGATCCAGCTATTCTGGAACCGTCAATTCGACAAACATTGGAGGTTAGTCATAATTTTCTATACTTTTAATTAGTAGTAACACTGATGAGTTGGCTATTGAGTCATCTTTGTAAACTCTTTAATTACTATGTGACCTCTCTTAGTTTTGGAGATAAATTTCTTTACGGGTCATATTGTTTGTATGACTATGCTCATCATATCGATGATGTTTACTGTCTGGCATTTTAAAGTATCAACTGATCTGTAATGTACACAAATACGCAGTTATCCATTCAATTTCTGTGTACACATTCTGTACTTACGTGGATTTCTGAATTAAAAAAATTATTTTGCTAGCTCAACGTTCTAACGCCATACGAATTTGTGCACAATTGTTTAACCGCATGTTGACATAAAAAGCGAGCATTGCTGGTATTATACCATCATTACTATGTAGAACTAAAACACAGGCCATATCGAGGCACAGAAACTCATGTGCCAATAGAAACAGATCAATTCGGTCCAACCAACGACGGTATAATACACACAAGAAGTGGCTCGGTGGTCTACTGGATAACGCTGTAGCGTTTGAAGCGATCGGTCCCGAGTTCGAATCCCGGTGGGAACAACACTCGCTGGCAGGGAGGTTCATCCAGCTGACGAGTTCCACTACCCAGCATTACTATCATATTAGAGTAGTCTTAAAAGTGGGGTAGCATTGTATTCTTCAGCATCAGTGTACGTCATTAAAGTTGAAGTATTTCAAATTTATGCTAGTGGTGTAAGTGGCAATAAGCGCAAAATTCAAAAATCGCTAGCTATTGACGTTAAGTCATTCAGCATTCCATATGGCATATTTAGTTTTTTATACATGATCGTAAATAGTTTAGTATATATAACAGTTAGCTCAGTGCTGCTATATGGTTCAGAAGCTTGGCGCGTCACGAAAAGTGCTTTCAACAAACTACAGACATTCATCAACAGCTGCCTACGCTGGCTCGATACTGAAGATCAGATGGTCGGAAGGAATAAGCAACAAGGAACTCTGGGAACGAACCAATCAACAACCTATCACCCAACAAATATGCAGAGGGAAGTGGAGATGGATCGGGCATACACTGAGGAGGCCGATTGGGGACATCACGCGCCATGCCAGTGCCTCGAGTTGAATCGTAAGGGGAAACGACGAGTTGGGCGTCCGAGGGTGACATGCAGGAGATCGTGTGAGGAAGAAATCGAAGGTTATGCGCAGTCGTGGAGTGAGGTTGAAAAGACCGCATAGAAGAGAGTGCAATGGAGGCGTGCTTCTGAAGCTCTATGTTCCACTAGGAACCCAAAGGGAAAATATATAATAATAGTTAACTCAGTTCACATGTGTCGTTCTTAATTCACTGTCGTTTTTTGACACTGGCAGTAGCGAATCTGGTCCTCCTAACAGATGGTACTAGTAATATCTTAGGTGTAATTTTACACTAATCACCGTGTAACTAAGTAAGCTTGCATAAAATAAACTGGTTTCATTAGCCTGCTTTGGGGTTCGTTTTTTTATTCTCCGGTTTCAATTCTGAGTCCCTACTTCATTTAATTTGTCCTGAGAAGATAAGGAGCTGTCCTAATTTTCATACTGTAGATGTTTGGTTTAGTGCATAAACACCCATGCACAACTACTGAATTTCATTTAGACGTTCTTTAAAAAATCCCTACTTTTTTCAGTAGCTATAGTACATAAACATGGCCACTTTTCATCAATTCAAGCACTTGACTTTCAATCTCAGGTTTGAGGCCAATTTCACTCACTTCCATTTATCCAGTTGGAAACCATCTATGGTAGGTACCCCAGTACTCGGGTGCGTACTTTCTTTGCCGAGTTACATTTTTAAAATTCTTTTTCCTTTTCCGTGATTCAAACACTATACTAAGGTATTATTCAAAAAACCCCATAAGTTTTCTCGATACTAATTACAACCAGGTGTTGTAAACTGATGTTCCATTGGATTTCGTTATTCATTTCCGATATGCTGTATTGCGTGTGCGACGTTTATTTCCTAATGAGAAGTTTATTTCCTGAACATTTATCTTTATATTTAAAGCATTGAATTTCACCTCATTATATGCAGAATCAGAAAGTTGAAAAAATTGTTTAAATGATAAATATATCAGCATCAGTCTACCATTTTCGATGTTCTGAGTGTTTAGCATCTCTTGCGAATGCAGTATTGACACAACTGTAGAATAATCTATCTTGTTAACTGAGTTTGTCTGACTTGAGGTAGCCCTTTCTGTTATTCACAGGATGGTAACAGGTTAAATTATCTGTCATTATTGCTTTCTTTAATATACCATTGTGTTTTATCCTTTCTTTATAGTTGTGCTATTCAGCGATGCACTTACACATACCTAAACAGATGTACTAATTTTTCAATCGTGTTTTGTGTCTTGTCTGGTGCATACATTGTATTGAATGTTTGGGCCACTTTACAGTGTTGCATTACCATCTACACTTAGAGAGTTACTCGTTCTCTCTCCCTTTTATATTAGTCTATCCTCAACTCTAGCTTAAACCTCATAGACATGCTTACCAAACTGACAATATTCGTTATCCTTGTATGTGTTTCCCTGCCTCATTGTGCTGTTCATTTCATATACTACCCATCCCTGTTCCATATGTGTTGTGTATCAGTATTTCTTTACATTTTTCTATTCTCCTGTGATCATACTTGTGGTGTTTCTGTCTGCTTGTGTTGGTGTATAACTGGAATCAAAGTGAATGTTTTCAGTGTCTGATTTCCCCCATTACATTTGATTAAGAATGCATACTTCAAGTCCTATGACATTTAGTTTCTTCCTGTCTTCTGTCTTGTTCATCCAATTATTAACATGTATATTCAGTTCTCCTAATCTTATTCTTGTCTTCTCCTTAAGAATGAGTCATCCCATTTGTGTGATTAATTTATATTTACTTGTTTATCCACGTCTATTCAGTTTAGTTTTTTATATTCTTCATTACCCTTCTATGTTATACTTAGAGTTGGTGTTGTAACAAAAAA